GTTCGTCTGGCCCATATGACATCTGGGCACTGAATAGGACTCTTTCCCTTATGCATACTTGAGAAATTAATGACATGGTTGGCAAAGGAGGTTAGGCAGCTGGGGAGTAGTGCTTCCTGTACCAAATAGCTTTATGTGTTTGGGGATTGTTCTTTAAGGATATGGGTGGTAGAAAAATGATTACAAGTGTACAAAACCAGGAATGGTCCATAGTCACATCTTTCTGTGCATGTTAGAACCTCATATCGGTCTGACAGTTGTGCTACAGTTTCTCTTAGCAGCAGGGTTGCTAATAACTCACCATAAGGTAAATATGTTGTGTGTGAACACAAACCATGTGTGGATTCATCCACCTTATGGCCTTGATAAAATTTTGTATTTCACACAGGTTCTTCTACAGAACACTGCTTATTCATACAGTTATGGTTCCAGCTGTTAAAAGGGTTTATTACAGCCTACCCTTCAGAAACACTATAATATACATGAGAATTAAAACTGAATAAATTATATGGTATAACAAAAATAGTCGGGGCACCAATAATTTTTTCTATAGCATGTTTCATACAAAATGCATCTGAAAAGTCATTAGAGATTTGCTGTAAATAGTACAATACTGGAATTAATTTATCTCTTACTGTGCTATCTTTTAAATACAAGTAAGCAGAAAAGAGCTTTAACTTATTTTTTTAATGGAACTGAAATTAAAGACAGGTTGCTTTGCTTACTAAGAATAGCAAAAAAAAATGGGTTTTGCCCAGCCTCAGTAAAGTGGTATGGAGAGAATGGTTGGTGAAAGGAGGAAAGGGTTAGGGAGTTAAGGATGCAGTCCCACTCTGGGTCTGTAAACTGTTTCCATGTCTGCACCCGCTCTCTGATTGTTAAAATACAACTATACTTATGTTGCAACCTCAGTCACATGGAATGGGAAGCCATAGCTGGCCTTAAAAACAGGTCTATCATTATCATACAATAGGCTGGCTCTGGAGATACAGGAGAGGATTCATTCTTCCTCCATTGTTTTCAACATTGGCATCATCACAGAGGGATTTTCTGGCTATGTTGATTCTATTCTATTCCCATGTGCCATGGGAGCTGCCAGCTATTTGAAAGACAACACAGATTTTCTACAGAAACTATGTTCCATTAACAAGTTTCTACCTACCACCGTATTAGCTACCATAGATGCCACACCAGTGTATACCAACATCCCCCATGAGATTGGACTACAAGTCACAAAGAAGATTATCCCTGATGAGGACATGTGTATGGCCCTCCAGTACGCCCATTTATGTCAGACCTTGATGTCTGCTTCCACCACAAGTACCCTCTTATCCCTCTGATATACCAAAGATACATTGATAACATCGTCATATGGATACATGGGAAGGAATCTGTAGAGCAGTGATTCTTAACCAAAGAGCCATGGCACCCTGCAGTACCTTAAGATCCTTTCAGGGGAGCCCGGGGTGCCGTGTAATGTTATCATGGGTAGATGTGCAAATGTGATTTACAAGATAGAGTTCAAATAGGAATTCATAGTGTTAAAATTGTTCTACTCTGTTGTGGTCTTTCTGAGTTCTTTGCAACAGAACAATTACTCAAGTATTTTCTGTAGTTAAAAAAAGAGTGAAAACTTAAGAACTGGCATTTTCTGATGGGTGCTTCTGGTCTAAAAAGGTTGAGAACCACTGCTCTAGACAAATTCTACCAGGGCTTGATCAGGTTTCACCCCTACATCAAATTGGCTCTGGAATATGCCACCCAACAAATTCATTTCTTGGGCCCACTGTGAAAGTTTGCCATGGGCATATCACTAATACATTGTATTGGAAATCAACTGACTGCTACAGCTGTCTCTATGTCAGCAGCCCTCATTCTAAACACACCTCTGTATCCATTGTCTACTACAGCCAACCTCTACTTTACAAGCATACATCCTCTTATTCCATTCACCAGGATGCATATTTTAAGGATCTGGAGCAGGGATTCACATACTTACAATAGGATCCTAATACTATAGCAGCTTAAAACAACAGGGTTGGACTCAAATCCTGCTCTGACCTGCTACAATACCAGCTGTGAGAAAAGGACAACAGGATCTCTTTGTTTGTCACCTACAGCCCCCAGCTTGAACACCTTGGATATGTTAATTACCTCCAAGCCCTCCTGGAAAATGATGAACATATCAAGATGGCCACTGGGGACAAACCTATTCTGGCTTACAGACAGCTTCCCAACCTTAAAATGGCATCTTTCCAGCAATCGATCACCTAACTCCTAGTCTCACCAAGGCACTAGACCTTGCACGAGGCCCAGATGCCAGCTGTGTCCCCTCATCAACGCAGACCACATCAGCACTCTACTTCTGAGGTTAATTTACCTGTTCCTTTACCAACATCATATATGCCATCACCAGCAGAGTGCACCTGGATGGATGTTCCCTTCCTGAATGTTCCATTGCTGACCTCAAAGTAGCTAAAACAACAAAACTTTAAAAACCAACCTAAACGGGAAATTACAGAACAAGAAATTATTGACAAACTGCCTTGTGTCATGTGGTCTAAACTGAGACTACAGATTCTTATTTCATTAGCTGGATTAGCTTTTATAATCTTTATGTCCCTCAGTGAGTTAACTGCTGTTTTTTCTTTCTCCTTCCCACTTTCACTTCCAGCAGTGCCCCTCTTCATTTTTTCTCACCCCTTCCCTACAGTTTGTATATTAATCATTGCTCTCTATCTAGAAGCTCTGCTTCCTGCAGTCCCTTCTCAGCATCTAATAAAGTGAGATGCTGGTAATGAAAGCTTTATGCATCTTTGATTTAGTTAGTCTGTAAGGCAAAAATCTGTCCTGTCTTCTGCAAATGTATTAAGAAGGGTGGTGTAATGCGGAGGGTGCAGTTTTATGTTTCCTCCCTACCAGGGACTATTACTTGCCCCTGTGGGTGCTAAAATAGTTAGAGTACTCCTACTTATACTCTAGCTGCCATACCTCATATTATTCTAGTGGAGTCCAGACTAGCTTCCATGCAGCAGGAGCACCCCAGCTATGTGTTCTTCAGTTTTGATATTTCTTCTGCACTGGGGACTTCTATTGGGAAAGTTCGGTGATAGCATAGGAAGCCCTCTATGCACTTTGGAGAATCCTACACATTTGAAATCCCCTTGTGGATGGCTTTATGGTTTCTTTGCATCAGTGTAACTAATGCAAATTGATCACAGCACAGTGATGAGTGAATTTCTTTCCATCTTGGACCAGATTCTCTTTAGATAAGCATGTTTCTAGTGAAGTCAATGGAAGTGTAGCTGATTTACCTCAGTGTGAGAGGGGAATAAAGCTCCAGGGTTTGGCATTAACCTCTGTAATTCCTTGCTGATCTTTAAAATTAGAGTCCAGTTTGAACCAGGAATGGGAAATACATTGTGTGCAACTGGAGTTGTTTGATAATATTATGCTAAAACTTCTTTGCATGTACAAATAAACAAGGAACAGTATTTAATTCACTCTAGAGTTTGGAGAACTGAAGTTTACAGAGGCTATAAGAAAATGAGTTTCATTAGCGAACAGGAAACTTTAACACATGTAAAATTAACTGTACTTATTTGCACACCATATGCTCCCACATACTTTGTTTTGGGAAGGCGGAATGAAGGGGCAAAAAAAAAGATTGTCTCTTTTAACCAAACTGTTCAGAATTAGATTTATTGTTTAAGACATCAGTTTTCAATTCCTTATTTTCAGAAAAAAGGTGAGTGTGGTATATGAATAAATGTAACACAATTGCCATAGCTAGGCATATAGGAAGATTGCTGCGCACCCATTATGGTAAAAAAATTCAACAGGAATGCCAAGATATATCAAGAACCATTCTGCTGTATATTATGCTGGTGCACCATTTCTCCACACAAGACATTATTAGTGACCAAGCCTTTGGCAATGTATTGGTCCAATGGACAGACAAAACATCTTGTGAGAAAGCAAAACTGAACAATTTTGCTTATCAAAGCATGCAACAGCTCAAACCAGAGACTTTTCTATTGCTCCTTTAACCTCTCAAGAAAAGATATTCTTAAGTTCTCTGTCTGGAGTTAACAGAAAAGTAGTCCTTTATCCTTTCTTGAATATTTTATCTTGTCATAGGCCTACACTGGGCTGAGAAAAATGTATCTGGTTTGAGAAAAGAAAAAAATGAGACCTGGTTCTCTGATTGGGAATACACATATGACTTGAGCTCTTTTGCTCAAGAATAGGTTTTTAATAGGTTAATGCTGTAAAAACATCTTACTAAAACTGCAGCTATTCAACATAAACTAGACATGACAAAGTATAACACTAAATCAAGCATGCTTGAGTATTAGCTGTTTGTATATTTAAAATAAGACAAGGCAGAATAGAACATTACTCTTGAATAATTCCATGGGCCTGGGGAAACCAGTTGTCTGCTTCAGTTTTAAGTCTAAACACAAAAACATTTGTTCTTTCTTTGAAGAAAGAAGTATCAGCTTAGACATCAAGGCCACGTCCAAAATAGTGCGGCTGTGCCGTAAGTGGTGCCGCAGACTCACCTGCTGTGCCAAACACTACCCATTCAGGCATTCCCCGTGCTGCTGCCTTGCAGCGCAGAGGGGTTTTTTGACTCCAGAATATCCCAGGGTCAAAAAAACCTAGGCAGAAAAAAAGTGGGATGGCACACGTGGCGGCAGCACACGCCACCCAAAACTGTGTAGCAGGAACTGAACTAATGTACCTGATGTTAACATAGAGTGTAATAATAGTGAAATATAACTATGTTAGTCTTGTCCTGTAAGCAACTTGAAAACTCCATTTTGTATCTTTCTGCTTGATCTAAGTGAATGAACTCTGCATAGCCTTTATGTATGAGTGTGTGGAAAAGAATGAATGGTGAGAGAATGGCATACAGATGGGAGAAGAAGATTTAACTGTTTATGTAAGCAATAAGGCACCAGGTGTAAATACTAGTCACTAAACTAATTAATGAATGGCAGAAGAATCCCTTTCAGGTCTAGGGCACAAAGAAGATAACGAGGAGAAAAAATGTACCCATCCTGCCAGACAGGCAGCAAGAGCACTCCAAGGCTGGGATAAGCTGAAGACAAAAGAAGAACACCCTCAAAAACAGGATCAGTATGGAAAAACCCCAAAGCACTGAAACAAAGGATGCTAAACCCTGTAAAAGAAGACTTCAGAAATGCCAAGTTGGATGAGTCTCTCTCTCAACTGCTGTTTCGTCAGAGCGCAGGCATGTCTGTTTCATCCCGCTCCAAGCTGTTATCTACAGGATCGTTCTCTCATAATAACCACCCTACCTGCTATCTGCGTGTTCTCTCAGTAAGGCCAGGGCCAGCCACCTAGTGCTATTGAACAACTGCTGCTGGTAACTATAATGTCTGAATAGAATGGTTGTTTTGTGTTTGTGTGTGCCTGTGTGTAAGTTTTGTACACGATGATTTATGTGCATCTGTATGAGTGGTGTGTCTGAATCTCTATGTCTAATTCATGTAATCAATAAACGCCTCATTTTGCCTTATCCCCCTTTATAAGGTCTTGCTTATGATTTGAGCAGTTGGCAATCTGTGTAACAACTGGAGCCTGGCTGCCAGTCAGGTTCCCAGCTGTGGAAGTGCCATGACTGCGGCTTCCTCAGCCACCAAAACTCCAGGACCCCAGGTAAGGCTGCTGGGGAACTATACGTCCACACTTGTTTGGATGTGGTCTAAGGATATAGTTGCTATTTTCTGACACATCCATACCATTTACTTAGCTTATATTAACAATTAAATATTTATGCCAGTGGGGAAAAATATACTCTTCCTAAAGTAAGCCTTTTCTTTGCATTCCAGTACAAATCTCAAATTGTGGGAGAAGCAAACTGAATGTCACATTTGGGGAAGAGGGATCCATCCTTGAGATACCAAGAAGTATGAAGCTGCGTGATATACTAAACAGGATACTTGAGTACCAGGTTCAGGCTAATGATTTTGGTATATCTTAGGCTTCTGCTGAAGCAAGAGATACTCTGTCTTTTTCTGTATTCTGGATGTGATTTCTGATGTATTTACTGTTGATATAGAGGAGCAATGCACCAGATTACAGGTTTTGGGCACACTTAAAAATCAGCTTAGGGCTTGTCTGTACTGCCTCTCTGCTATACTGTAGAATATTCTGGGTAGAAACCTCCCCTACTCTTCCTGTTGAAGTTGAGCTGCTCTACAGACCGCAACGTGAGACTTTTGAGTTGAGAGAGAGAGTGAGAGCCATGACTAACCCAGCAGTAAGGGAACTTACCTGGCTAGGAAGAGTTTTGGGTTCTGGTCCCTGTTTTCAGAATTACACTGTTTATGGATTTTGCCAAAACCAATTATGAGATAAAATATATATATGGTATTGGGAGGGGGAAACAGAACTCAGAATTAACCTTGTGTGCCCAGATCCTACAGTGTGCCATCCAAACCAGGTTGTGTATGTCTGGATCCCACCTTGCGCTGCCCAGTTCAGGCTCTGCATGCCTGGATCCTGTATTAAACACTTCCCAGATCCTGCCTCGTGCCTCTCAGATTCCACCTTACATGCCTGCATTGTGCCCTGTGCTGTCCCAGCCCTGCACTCCTGATCCAGCTAGGTTCTAGAAATTCAACAGCAGGGGATCAGCACTTAATGCTGCCACTGCTGTCCTGCTGTTAAATTTTCTGGCCCATAGAGCCTCTGCAGAAGAGATGACATTGTTCTGTGGGCCAGAATTTTAGCACACCTGATGTAAAAGGGTGGGTCCACTACTGTCATCACAACCATTACTGGCCATTTTTTCGAATGAAAGTGGCTGTGATTGCTGTGTTTTATGTTTTATGTGTATGTGATTGCTGTCAGTGTATATGGATGTTCTAGGAGAACCCTGACTTGATAAGGCAGTTCAGGTGAGTTACATATAGGAATATGTAGTTTGTGGATCCCAAATGGGCTTAGGTATGAAATGAGTATTGGGCTTTTCATCTTTGCTATGATGGTGACATCTCTGGACATGTCAGGGGAAAATGCCAGGTGACGCATCTATCCCAGTATCTTTCAGGACACCAAATCTGAACGATTTGATTTTTGGTTTTTTGGCTTCTTTTTTTTTTTTTTTGGTGGTTCAGTACAGCACATTTTCACTACCTGTGAACTATCTCAGCCATTTATTCCATTTTTAGAAACGTGTACGCTTTTTTCACTTCTGCTTCTCCTGCTGCTACTAAATATCAAATTAGCTTTGGAAACAGTGCTGTAATATTTTTAAAAGCAAAACTGGCTTATTGTTGTGTCTCTTCTAGCATTTTAAGATTTTGTTTCCCAGAAACTTCTTTTTACTGCTGTCGAAATGCATGTAGGCTATGTATTTGTTTAAGTGGTGAACTTTGGTGACCATATAGGTCAACAGTGTTCACTAATGTTGAGCATATAAATTTGCATGTCCAGCTTAAGAGTTAGAGGCTAGGTACAAATATTACACTTAATGCATGTTAAGCGTGCAGAAAGCACTTTAAAACCATAACAGAACAGATGTTCACAGCACTTAGAGCACTTTAAAAATGGCAGATCCCACTCTAAGCTGATCCTTGATGGATGTGGTATTAGACTAAAGTGCTTTAGGTTAGAGCACATTTTTGAAGACTGCATTCCCCTAGTGTCCCAGGGCCCCTTGCTGGATGGCTTGCTAGCCTCACCCAGTGCTCATCTGCTCTGCCTCTGCGTCTTGCTGCTGCTGCTTCAAAGCAAGCCATTGCCCTGTGCACAGATTGGGGAGGGGGCACATGTCCCCCTCTTGGCTTCCTCGTGCTGCGTGCATGTGCATCCCTGGCACTGCATTGCTTTTGAAGCAGAATCAGGGAGGCACAGAGGTAGGGAGCAGACCCAGTCCACAGCAACCACCTGCCCTTGCCCCACGCAGAGATCAGGGGGGCACGTGCCCCCCCTTGGCTTCCTCATGGTGCACACATGGGAGCCCTCCCCCCTGCGCCTGTGGGCGAGCTGCCAGGCTCTGATTGTCCCACGATCTGACCTGGCCGGGGCCCCGTTCACAGTGAATGGAGCCTTGGCCGGGCTGGGTCGTGGGACAATCCCCATAGTGCAGGAGGGAGCGGGGAGGGGCAGGGGTGACTGATATGCCCCTGCCCCACTTCCTTCTGTACTGTGTGGGTCCCGGTCTACCCCCACCCAAGCTCAGCCACAAAGAAAGTAAATTGAAACTTACGTGCCATTCTGGAGAGTCACACACCGAGACTGCAATCCTGGCTGCGCAGGGTTTCTGAGTGTGCATGCCCCTCTCCCCCTGCTGCAGCAGCCTGTGGCTGGGGTGCCCTGCAGCTATATCTGCTGCCCTGCATTTGGGGGGTGCTGAGCCCCTGTAGCTCCTCCTTCCGCCGCCTATGGGGGTTGCTTTGGCAGCCTCCTGGGAGGTGTGTGGGAACAACCCCCACCTGCTGGCCTTAGCCAGTGCAGACAGGCACTGAGCTCTCTCCCTGCCCACTCCCCCACTGAATGACGGATGTTTGTTTGGTTCATTCCTGCTCTAACTTATAGCACTTTAAGAAAAGTGCAGTAGAGTGCTTCTGTGCTTCTGCCAGGGTTTTTTTGAACATCTGTACTTAGCCTCAGGGTCTCTTTTTAGACAGACTGAAAATTTGCAATTTGGTTACTCCAGTAGGAGACATTTAGCTACAATAGGATCTGAAAAAAAGATCCGATATATTAATTTGAGTGCAATAAATGGGCATAGGGTGTCAAGTGTGTTAACATGACCCTGGAACTGTGTGACATTATGGGCAGTGAGGCTGCTCCAACATGCTGTAATAACAGCATGTCAGAACAGACTTGATTAATCGAGTCTCCTGGAGCATGGTAATTACTGTGCTCCAGTACACTCCAGTATCACGTGTATCAGCATCTCTGTGCTGAAAAATAGCAGTGGGATCGCTTTAAGTAAAGCTCATTCAGTGAGCGTTAAAGCACCTGCCATTTTTCAGTGCAGGGAAGCTGATACACCTGTCACTCCAGGAACTTTAATTAGAGCGGCTCTCAGAGCCGCTCTAATTAAAGCCCTCTCCCCACTCCCCCCCACTACTCCCAGAGCACATGTATAAATGCCCTAAGTAGTTAAACAAGGTTCTTGGTTTCAGGTAGAGAGATATAAAGGTCTTGTTACACCCTGCATTTTAATCTTTTCAGATGTTGATCAGTGTTAATTTTAGTTCAAGTTTAGAATAGTGTTCAGGCTAAAAACCTTCTCCAGCTGTCCCTGACCTGCATAGCTGTGCCTTGTCACTAAAAGGCTGGCAAGCAGGGGTCTGAGTAGGAGCTACAGCTGAGAGTTGTTCACACATAACAGGAGGGTGGGGGAAGTGGACACTACATTCAGGGTTACTGAAGGACTGAAACTTGAGAGGCTTATCTCTGAGCCATGGCCACACATTTGTGGAACACAAACTGGGTAACACAGATCAGAGATAAACCCACCCTGGAGTGGTGTACCTTTAAGATACCTGAAAAGTACTTAAAACTAGTTTACGTGTCTTAGTGTGTGGACAATCTAGGGGTTAGGAGCTCCCTGAGCTGTCTAAAATTAATGTGTAACAAAGCCCTACGTGTGCTTATTCCCATGACAATCAATCACTGGTAAAGGGATTTTGTTAAAGATGCAGAAAAACATGGGAAAGAAAACTTTGGCAACGTAGAGTATTAAGTAGGGCTTTCATTTTAACATCCTTTATTCCCTTCCTTTTAGCAGCAGTGGTTGTTTTTTTTAAATGGAACCCCCTGCTGCTCTTACTTGACAGTCTTTTAGGTGCTGCTGAAAGTGATTATATAAATAACCTTTTTTAGGAGAAAGAGTAAGGTTAGTTGAGATGGGCTGAAGCTGCTGCTGCTGTTGGAGTCCAGTTCAGTGTCTTGAGGAAAAAAGGCAAATAGAAAAGGGAGAAAAAAGAACAACAAAGAGTGAAAATACAACTTCGCAGTCTGGTGCTGACTTTTAGGCCTGGTCTGCTATGAAGTTTTGCTATGCTGGGTAAAGCTGTGAAAAGGTTGTACTTCCTAGGAAACAGATCCCCATTCTGGATGTAGGTAAGTCAACAGACGGGATCGTAGCTAATGTCATTCAAGGACATGGTGTAATTATGCTGGCAAAAAAAAAATCTAATACTGCTGGCACATAATACGGCTTTGCTGGGGGGGT